AACTCACTGAGGATCAAGAGTGCTGTCTGTGCCTCTAGTCTGTGCTGCCTAACGCCATTGCCAGATGGTTCCGTCTGTCTTCTGGATGCAATCTCACTAAACACAGCACAGTTACCAGACCACTTTATTGGTGATAATCATGTATCATGGGCATCAGAGATGATGCAATCCAATTTAATACTAAACCCTGGTTTAAAAATATTAGATATAACACAGAGGCACCAAAAAGGAACCGAAGTTTAAGGGAAGTTTCCTGTTTCCTGGTGAATCACAGAATTCCCCGTGCTTGGAAACCCTACAATGATCAGACAGGGTGTCACTTCCCAACCAGAAGGGAAGGCCAATGAAGCCCAGGGGTGTGACAAGTCCCTGGTGGAACTGGGAAGGAATGAAAGTCCCCTGCCTCCTCTCAGTTCTGCAGCGACTGTGGACAGTCTAGGCAGACAGGCCTGCAGAGCAGTCTAGAAACCACTGGCAGGGACGAGGGAAAAGCATCCATCCAGCTGTCTGAGCAGGACAGTCACGGACCAATCACATTTAAGCTTTAATCAAGCAACTGACTCATCTACTTCAGAAACCCCAGAGGTTACCTTAGAGCCACGGAGAAAAGTGCACACGGGGACAAACGAAGTCAAGGCTGAGGCGGAGGGAGGAGCGAGCGGGGAAACTGCTCTGAGTTAAAACAAAAAGAACAACTGGCCTCCATCTCCAGCCCAGGGGTTTCAGAGATGGGCCTGCACAACGCCGCCTCCTTAGACCTTTCTTTGTTCCTGGCACCACCTTCTTCCAGCTATTTTTAGGACAGGAGAACGGGGCACACTCAATGAGGCTGGGACAGCAAGGCCTCACCTTGTCTGCCCTGCTGGGGCTCGGGCTATCTTTAATTAATGGCTGAGGGAGACAAGACCAGCCCTCCTCAGGGCGACGAGAGGCGACACAATGGAGAAATTCTAGCCAGGACACTCACAGGCCAGCTTCTGGCCACCATGCCTCACTCAGGTCCTGGGGCTAGTTGTTGTTGTTGTTGTTGAAAAGGCAGTGCCATCTGGACCACTCAGAGAGCAAAGAAAGAGTTCCGGCATCAAGGGAAGAGTGCAAGAACCGGACTGTGTTCACCTAGCCCTTCGCAGGGCACAAGTGAGGTTTCACCAACAGGCGCTTCTGTCATTGTTGAACGTTCCACTGAACAGCGCTGACTAGCAGGCTGCAGCTTCAGAGACCCTGCTCCTAAGATTCTCCCCCAAATGAGTCATCGTTCAGTGTGTGATGAGGTTTGAGGCCTTTGCCCTATGTGGCCCCCTGCACTCCTCCAGTCCATCTGACAAGCAAGGGAAAACCAGGGATCTCATCACTTTGCTGTCGTGGTCCTTCCTGCTGTGATCCTCAAGAGATAAATGTCAGACACTTAAACCGTGGGTTGCAGCCACCCAGAAGTGGCTTTATTACCTCAGAGAAGCTAACCATGTCTTTGGAAACCACACTGAATACGCTGTGAACCTCACAATACTCTCCCACAGACTGCTGCAGAGCCCCTGTGCTTCGGCACTCTCAAAACACACTGCAGGCAAGAATGATAAAGAGGAGAGAGAAAATGCTCCCACCGAGGGGAACCAGACCAGCGCCTCGGTGAGCAGACCCACGGCCTGCAGAGCAGCTGCAGAGCCGAAGGGGCTCCTCGGTGAGCAGACCCACGGCCTGCAGAGCGGCTGCAGAGCCGAAGGGGCTCCTCGGTGAGCAGATCCATGGCCTGCAGAGCGGCTGCAGAGCCGAAGGGGCTCCTCGGTGAGCAGACCCACGGCCTGCAGAGCGGCTGCAGAGCCGAAGGGGCTCCTGTTAAGCCAAGTGTGGCTGCAATCTGAGCACATTCGAAATTTCCATCCCATGTTACTGCAGACTGCAGCAACCCCCTCACCCTCCACTTCACTCCATTAAACTAAGTAGGTCTATTTATCCAAGAGTCCATTAGTTGATTTCAAAACACAACTCTAGAATTATCTTTTGGCTGATGGAACCATATGGCTCTCTTCACTTCTGCTCACAGTACTAAACTAAAACCTTTATTAGTCTGAGCAAACAGCCCACCACAGCTAAGAGCACCCACAGTTATTCTGTCGTGGGGGTCCCCACCAGGAGGGCTCAGACGCCCAGAGGAGGCCGGTGTGGTTCTGAGACATGGTGGCCAGCAGTTAATCATGCTCACAGGGCAAGTGAGGGGAGCAGGCAGCAAAGATCCAGCAGAACCTGTTTCCCTCCCACGGTCCATCAATTAAGCTTACCAGGGAAGCAAGTCTTGCCACAAAATTACCAAATGAAAATGACCAGGGAAACACACTGAAAGGTAACTAATTTTTGGACTCTTCAGAAGGGAGTTGCTGAAGTCACAGCCAACGAGGCAGAGCTGTTGAAACTCTGAACTATGATGGACATGCCTGGGTCTAGTGGCCAACCTTCTGGTCACAACTCATTTAAGTAAGTGCCTGTTACTTATGGCCATCTGAATGAGGAACTGAAGCTTTCATTAGACTTAATTTACCATGCATGGAAAATGTCAAAGCAATGAAAAACCGCCTCCCCTTTAAACAATGAGAGCAGTTCTTCCTAAATTGAGATATAGACTTTGGGTCACCTACAGCAAAAGACTGGGAAGCTGCTTGAGTTTTTCTTGTTTGTTCTTTTTGCGGTTGCTATTTTCAAAAGTCAACTGAGCCCTCTGATGTGATTAAACCTTGAGACCTTAGATGGGGAAAAAAAAAAAAGAAACAAAAAACAAAACAAAACTCAGGCAGCAAACAGGCTCCCATGGCTTAGACTGAAGAAAAGGAAGTCATTCCAACAGCAGCTACACAGTCTAGAGAGAGGGTCAGCTGATCCTTACATCACCAAGTCCCTATGCCTGCTCAGAAAGCTTCCCCCACTAGGGGGTAGGATTTTAATCTCCTCTGTACTTCTAAAAGTAGCATCCTTGAGAGATACTGGTAGTCGGCCCTACACACAGGGCACTGGGCACTACAGCTGTAAGCGTCTACATTCTAAAGACAGGTCACGTGGAGACTCTGGCTCCCGGTGCACAACACACCAAGGTAACAGCAGAAAACACTTCACCATCAACAGTGTGCCTGAAGTAATGCCCACAGATGTTCACTCTCTAGAGCTGATTAAACCACATAAAACGGCTTCAGTTTTGAAAAGGATTTCCAGGTCCCAAACAACAGGAGACAATTCACGTTTTATGGTTGAGAGAGGAAAAAAAAAAAGCCCAATGGCTAACTAGACTGCGTGGTCAAGCAGTCCTGGAGACAAACACAGCTTTTCTGATACACAGTTTCCACAGCAGGGCACGCCAGAGGCCTGAACCACAGTCGAACCAGTGAATGAACCCACACGGAGGAGGAGCAGACAGACACCTGCCCGCCCCCAGGTGTCTGTACTAGGTTCTGCTCTCCCTCAATGACTGTCAAGAGTCACAGAAATTCAGCAGCAGTAGGCAGCTGCGTGTGACCTGACTGAAGTCACACAAGGGAACTTAAAGGGGAAGGTGCTGCAATGGAGACTCGAAATGTCAGTTTCACCACCACCAGCCCAGAAGGTAGGAATTCATAACTTAAAAATAAAACAGAAGGAATGCAGATGTGGGTTCAGCACAGGCAGCAGGAATATTATTGCTCGAAGAGCTAGTTCAATCTGGACTGTATTTATGAATCGCTAATTGTCAAGAAAGTTGCTATTCGGTTAGGAAACTAGTACCATAGATAGGCACAGCGCTGTGTTCCTGCAGCAAGAAGGGACTCGAGACCTTTGAACGTTCCCATCCCCCCACCCTATTAAGAGTCAGAGGCCTGGTCACACTGGGAAGGGGAAGGAAAAGTGCAGCGATGCCGCCAAGGAGACTGATGTCCCCAAATGTCTGAGGAAGAGATTTGTTCTGTTTCTTTCCAGCGAACCAGGAAGAGAATCAAGAAAGAACTCAGTTGAACCCAAGAAAGAACAAGTTAAATATCAGGCATATACACAGACGCTCTGTTTCCCCCTGGGGGGGAAGTGAACGGGTTACCCCCACCCAAGGCCAAGCCTGCCTATCCAGGCAGCCTTCCCTCAGCCCAGGATGCTACAGGAGGTGACTGCCTGCTGCCACCTCCCCCACTCTGGACCTCCAGAGGCAAGGCCGCATTCCTGACTGCAACACCTCCCCATCTCTCTCAATCAATAGAGTCATTATATGGGCCGGCTGGCTACTGAGGAACCTCAAGTCAGGAAGGCAAGACTGCTGCAGTTTACAAAAAAAAAAAAAAAAAATGCAAAGTCTCAGTGTTTTCACAAAAGCCAGCAACACCACCAGCGTCCAAAAGCACACTTTGACACCGGGACAGCTAATTCGCTGCTTCAGACACGCTATTCCCATTTCCTCTCAACTAGTTTCCCTGTGCTATTCCTGAAGAACAGCCTAAACGTCAGTTGGTTGATGAATTCCAAACCCAGAGACAGGAGAGCGGGGTTCCTGAAGGTAGAGAGACTTTCAGGGCATGTCACAAGAAGTTGACGCGGGAAGTTCGTGTGCCACACCAGCTTTGGAACAGGGTTGGCCAAACTCCCCTGCCACACAGCAGGAACCCAGGGGACAGCCTGACTTACCTTTTTTGGGAGGCAACTATTGTTCTCCTATCTCTGCCTGCACAGCAGTGTTCAAAGGGATGCCTGGCCTGGTTTAGGTCCCCTGCTAATTCTGCCCCAGTCCACAAGATTATAGATCTGAGCAACTGATTTCCCTGTCTATTCAAACTCTGAAACGACAACCACTGAGTGGCTTCTCTGCCTAGAAGGAGCGATCTAGCAATCCACCGAAATCTCTCTAAGCAAAGTCCCAACAGTGCCCAACCCTAAGGGTCCCCAGACATGGAGAATGAACGGAAACCTGAAACCAGACAGTGGTGCGCTTATCAAAGTCATTGCGTTCAGCCTGAACAAAACACCCCACCCCAGCTGCTCCACAGGCCAGGCTTTACCTTTCTGAACATGGATGATGTCTGGGAAGTTGGCCAGGTGCCCCTGATACAGTGCTAACAGGTCCATGACAGGGTCCAGGTCCTGCCTGGGCTGCTCAGCGAAGAGTTCGCCGATGGCGTCGTAGGCATCCCCGGTGAAGGCGATGGCCTGGTTCAGACCCACCGAGAAGGCCTGCTGGTCCAGCTCAAAGGCTTGGCTGAGGCCTCGGAAGGACTGGCCCACCTTCTGATACTCCTTCTTGAAGCCAGTCACCTGCTTGCGCGCAAACTCATTGGCAGTGTGGTTGAGCTGCAAGGCGCTGTCGTCCATCTTCTTGGTGAAGCACTTGAAGCCATCGATCTTGCTCTCCACCTCCTGCAGGTCCAGGGCGGCGGCAGGGGGTGTGCTCAGAGTGAGGAAAAAGTTGGCTCCCACCATCTCATCCTTCTCAGCCTTTCGCTTACCCTGTTTCCAGGCCTTCTCGTCCGTGCTGCTGGGGCAGGTCAGGAAATGCTGGAAGACGTCGCACTGTGCCAGCACCGGGTGGCTGGCCATGTGATTCATCCACCAGATCAGGCCCTTCCTGCGCTTGGAGATGAAGTCCTCCTCAAAGCGCCCAGTGGCCTGCTTCTCAGGCAGGTGGGGCACCGAGATGACCGGGAACTTCTCGGCCAGGCGCGCATACAGCCAGTCGAAGTGCTTATAGCGCCTGTGCACTGGCACCTGGGTGTGAGTGGGCACCAGCTTGTAAGAGATGTAGCTCTTCATGCCCTTAAACTTGGTCTGCTTGGTGGGGTCGTCGATGGTGCACTGAAAAGGGTACGGGTTCTCCTGCCACTCGGGGCCGTAGGGCCCCAGCACCACGCACAGCTTGTCCCCATCCTTCACGAAGCCCGATGCCTCGCCCAGCACGAAGGCCTCCCCGCCCGACTTGACGAAGGTGGAGAAGCGATTGAGGTTGCGGCTCACCGTGGCCGAGCTCTTGGCTCCAGACGCTTGATGCTGCGGAGGCGCCGGGCCGCCGCGGGAGCCCAGCGACAGGTCGGAGCGTGTGGACAGGCGGTAGCGACCAGCCGCGCCGCCGCCAGCCGAGGACGAGCCGTCGAGATCGGGGTACGCGCCGCTGCCCAGCGCGCCCGGCTCGTCGGCCACCGTGGAGCTATCGTCCCACTCGTCGTCCCAGTCATCGTCGCTGCCTTGGCTGGCCTGGTAGCCGCCGCCGTACAGCTGCTGCGGCGACGGCTGCAGGGCGCCCCCGCCGTACGGGAAGCCGGCGCTCGACGGCTGGAAGGACCCCGGCGGCGCCTGCGACTGCAGCAGCGGCTGGAAGGCGGCGGATGGCGCGGCGGGCAGAGGTTCAAAGCCACCGGGCGGCACGTTGGCGTAGCGGGCCGGGACTCCGGGGCCGCCGTCGGCCGGAGGGCCGGGCTCGGGTGCTCGGATCACCTGCACGTACGAGGCTGGGAAGAGGCCGCGATCGCCGCGGCTGTTGATCCCTTCGAGCCAGCCCTCGATGTCCTGCTCGCTGCACAGGCTCAACACCTCGTGCTCCCGCAGCGAAATCTCCCCGGGGTTCTCGGACCTGAAATCGTAGAGTGCCCGGGCGCGCAGCGCCATGGTCCCGAGCCCGGAGCCCCGAGCCCGGGCCGGCCCGAGGGCCCTGCGGTCAGTACCCGCGCCCCTGTGTGCCGAGAGGAGCTCTAGGACAGTGCACGGTCCGCTCCCCGCTCCGCTCGCGCTCTCCGTGCAGATCCGCTCTGCTCGCAGCCAGCACTGCAGCTTAGGGCCGCCGCCGCCGGCTGGGGGCGGGGCCCGCGCCTCCCACGTCCCCAGCGGCGCGAATCCATTGCCGAGAGCCGAGAGCCGAGAGCCAGACAAGAGCAAGCGATAGCCGAGCAGCCGCGCCGGCGCCGACTCAGCGGCCGCCGCTGCCCCCTCGTGGCGGGTATGAGAAAGTGCGCGCTTAGGTGACCACGCGGCGGGTGGGTTTGTTTTGTTTTCTTTTTCAGAAGTGAATTATCTGAAATTGTTCCGGTTTTTAAGTGAAAAAACATTTCTTAGAAAGCGAGTATTTGTATCCGCGATAGCCGTTCCACTTCTGACTGTTCGGAGGGAATGCTCCTGAAATGACTTAACCCCACGCGTGTAAGAAAGGCTTTCACCCTGAAGATCAGCTTTTGAACCGATAAGGATTTCCTTGCCAGGGGTGTGCTCACTGCAGGTACAGCTCCTTTCCATCCAGACGGGAAGATCCTAGTTTGACCAGAGGCAAGGGTGATGTAGGGAAAGAACTGTAAAGTCTGCAGGGAGCCAGCACTCTTGAGAGCCCAGCTTCAGAGACTGGCTGCTGGTGCCAGTCCACGCTCTGACACTGACTACCTGCACGGCCTTGAGCTAGGCACTTGCCTGGCACCTACCTCCCGTGGTTGTGTGGATTCAGTGATAACGTCATCCTTATCTTACAAGTGAAGGAACTGCTGTAGGCCCTGAGCAAGTAGTTTGCTGATAGCTGTTATTGCTGAGTCCCTTTCCTAAAGAAAATAAGGGTCCTAAAATTGCAGTTACAGGTGTGATAGACAATAGAGAAGGTTCCTGTGTTCACACCTTTACATTTCCTCCGAGGTCATTGACCACTCCTCTTCTCAATACCTTTATAGTCAGCTCCCTTCCTGAGATTCTATCAACCCCAGTCTCCTATAGTTGCCCTGTTTCATATCTTTTCCTTCAATATATACTTTTCCCAAGGCTTACTTTCTCATACTCTCCTTACTGAGTCTAACCTAGCCCTTGAAGAAAACTTCAAATAAAGCTCTACAGTCATTAATTCCAGCCTGTCCCATGACCATTTCTATGAATCTAATCAGAAGAATATTCCATTATCCTAAGCGCTGTGGTAAATAAAGCTGCCTCCTAATGAAAAACCTTAACTCAATCCCAAGAGCTAAGTCCAGCATTTTCTGGATATGACGATTCTCATGGAGAGCGATCATTGGGATTCTACGTCATCATTTGACATGATCAGAAACTCGAAGCCAACACTAACTAAACAGCTTACATTACGTAGTAACTCAAGAGATGTTCACCTGCGATAACAAATCTACCGGACAAAGCACAGTAGCATCCCTCCACTAGCACTAGGTAGTGAGCTTTAGATTCGGGAGTTAGTTACCATAGCTTTGGGTTCCTCTCAGGTGAAATAATTCCAGGAGTTTACTGGAAGCTCTTGCAGAAGGGTTGGACCACCATGGAAGCAATGGCTAAGGACCTTCAGGGTGTTGCGTCTATTGGTAGCCCAAGGGTACACACATCTGTGAGAGCTCAGCTTCTGAGAGCCGAGGTAAGGACTTTCTGCTTCTCAGTCATAAAGGTTTGGGAGAGATGCTAACAAACTGTCGTGATGCTTGGCCCTGTGCTCAGACTGGTGGGAAATACCTCACCCCTAGAGGGTCAGGGATCTGGAGGAAGTGTGCTTAGTTAATAACGTACAATCATTCACCCAGGGACGTGAATATAGCAATGTGTTTGTAAAAGATAAGTCTAGAAGACAGTTTCTTAAACTGTGGGTTACAGCCCCATAGAGAGGCCACATAACTGAATGTGATGGTGGTTGTGAAAAAAATTAGCAACAGGAGAAATTTCCTGAACAGGCAACAGACAGAAATAATTCATTAGAACCAAGTACATAATGGGTCTAAGGTGCTTCAACTCAACCGTGTTGCATGTTCAACTTCGCTGCAGCCTTGGTTCTGAAGACACAATCAACTTTGCAGGATGCCTGCCATCAGACATGTAGCGCAATAAATGCTACCCCATGTGCCCTAGCTGTGAAATGAGACCATGGGGTTTCATGAGCAGCAGTGATTTAGCATGCATATAAAGTTCTTTGCTCCTAAAAGGCCATAACAGAAAAGAGAATCGTATCCCACTGTCCTTCCTCAACATATATGTGTTGAATCCTCTTTAGACTGTTCGACTGTTTGATTTTTACAACAGTTGTTCAACTTCTTAAGTTTATAAAAATTTGCTAAGTGAATTTTGACTTGGGATTAGGATAGGATTGTTAGGAATTTATGAAATGGCCTTAAATATACTTCTGCCATATTTTGTTGATGTTGGATTCGCCTCTCTATGCTATGAATACCATTAGTTAATAAAGAAGCTGTTTTGGGCCTGGGATAGGGTAGAGCAGAGCTAGGCAGGGAAAACTAAACCGAATGCTGGGAGGAAGAAAGTGGAGTCAAGGAGAAACCATGTAGCCCCTCTGGAGACAGATGCCAGAACTATACCTGGTAAGCCACAGCCATGTGGCGATACACAGATGAATAGAAATGGGTTAAATTCTAGATGTAAGAGCTTGCTAGCAATACACTTAAGTGATTGGCCAAGCAGTTATTTAAATAATATAGTTTGTTTGTAATTATTTTGGGAGTCTGGGTGGCTGGGAAATGAATAAGCGAGCCTCTTACAACATTTTGTACTATATGTAATGTGAGATGACCTTCTTAAGCATTGATGATTATAAAAACATATGTCAATCAGCTCTGAAAAACATTGAAGATGCTGTGCCTTCCAGTATCAAACATTCATCCAATATGTAATTCTTATTTAAAAACAAACAAGCACACTTACCTCATTAGTATGTAGTTTTTTATCTTTATGGTAAAATTGTATGCATAGAACATAATTGTCTGAAATCACTGATTCATTATTATCAGTAAATATTTGACTTTTATAATGATTATATATAGCCATATATCTTAGGTATAAATTTTTCTTGAATAAAATAAGTCTTAAGTGGGAGGGAAAAGGTCGAGAAGCCTTACTCTAGAACAGTGTTTTTCAACCTTCCTATACTGCAACCCTGTAATACACTTCGTATAGTGGTGACCCCCATCCATAATATTATTTTGTTGCTACTTCATAACTATAATTTTGCTACTGTGTAAGCATAATGTAAATAACTGATATGCTGGCTATTGGCCCACAGATTAAGAACCGCTCCTCTAGAAAATAGAGCATAATTCATAACTTAGTTCATGTAGTCACTGTAGCTATCAACAATTTCTACTTTGTTATGTTTTTATATTTAAATTCTTTAAGGGGCACTCGATGGTCCTACACCTGTATTTTCTCACTTTCTACGGTGGCTGGAGAGGCCCAAAGTGCCAGGCTCTTGGCTGCCTCTTCCACTGGGGAAGCCCCACGGGTTTTTTGCTCTTCTTGGGACCGCCCCTGCTTTTGCCTTTGCTGCTGTTTTCTTCCTTAAACCCGTCTATCCTAGAGATCCACCATGCTGCACTTTTTCCTTATTCAGAATCAGACCAGCTCCACCAAGCCTCATTGATTTGTTTGTTTGCTGCTTTGAAGACCCAAGCAGTAAGATAGAGTACGCCTGGGTCCCAAAGTTTCCACTCCCAACCCTACTTTGTGGCAGAAAGCCTTTGTTGGGCTAAGCCACTGAACTAGCAGGGTTTGTTTGTTGAGACAGCTGACATTAATTAACAAGGTCTCCCTCCCTCCACACACCATCCACAGCCCTATCTCGTTTTTTTCTTTGTAACGCTCACTACCTAACATCAACCCATCTCTATATATTCATTCTCTCTCCCTGTTACAATGTAAACCACTTGGGGGGAGGGGGCGAGGTGGGAGGGGGACGGTGGGTTATTCAGGACACCAAAAGCAGAGCAATGAACCGAGCAGGTAGGCAACCAGTCAATACTTGTTTAATGAATGAGAAAACGCCCACTTGTTTCCTCCCCAGTTGAAGTCAACTCCGAGAACTGACTCTTGTTGTGTCTGGACCCTCCTGGTTTGGTCCCTGCAGCCTCCGGCTCCAACTAAATATTGCAAAGGTCAACTGAACAATGCTTCTCATCAAGTCAACAAACTTAAGGCTGACTCATCTGCCCAGGGCACCACTGCAAAATTTCTGAGACGACTGGAAATGTCATTGAATTGGCGGAAAGGGTCATTATTTTTTATATAACACTATATTTATGTAATTACCTGAAACCATGCGTATAATATGTCACACATTACAGAAATGATTTTATAAGCACTCCCACCTGTGTTGGGTGAGTCCCCGCTGTTTTCACGGCAGCTCCTCCAGGCAGAGGGCTGACACTGCTTGCAACCACAGACTGGATGTTTGGCCAAGGCACGTGGTTAGTGAGTGGCCTTGGGGCTACTCAGCTGTCTTGAAAACCTCCATCCCGAGTCACGAGCCTGTGCTTTGCCGGTTCCTCAAAATTGCAATTATTATTAAAAGGGCTGGACACTTACTAGAAACTGTATCTGAAGTCTACTAGAAGGCTTGGAGTCAGGAGCAGGGGGGGGGGCACTGACTCTGTCCCTGAGTCTACTTGGTGACACTGGGAATTAGAACTTTACTGGGATATTTTTTACAAAAAAAAGAAAATCATCTTTCTTCGCTATGATCTATGCCCTGCATACTAAATTAAATACCCATCAACTGAATAAATAAATGGACAAAGTTTTCCAACCCTTATTCCTCAAAAATAGGAATTAAAAAAAAATCTACTGCAGAGCCAGGTGTGGTTGTACCTGCCTTTAATCCCAGCACTCAGGAGGCAGAGGCAACCAGATCTCTGTGAGTTCCAGGCCAGCCTGTTCTACACAGCAAGTTCCAGGATTGCCAGGACTACTCAAAAAGAGTGTGTCTCAAACAAAAAACAAACCTACCTCAAAGGCTAGAGAGATGCCTTGGAGTTTAATAGCACTACAGCTCTTCCAGAGGACCTAGATTCGACTCCCAGCAC